AAGGGGAGATGGAATCGATGTTAAAGTAAGAAATCTATTTACCAGTTCACTTAACATGAATCGAAAAAAATTCTATGAATGTCACAATCAAAGTGGCGCCAAGTTCACACAGTTGAAGTCATTTTGCTTGTTACATTCCATCTGTTACTGTCGCGTTATTTATTTTGAAAAAAGTTTGAAGGAGGAAAATTTCCATTTTCATTTCCATTCATCGACCGCCCATCGAGATGAACAAAAAAAAGTTTTTTCTTTCCATCAAGTCAATAAATCAAAAATCCTCTTTAATGATGTCATATTAGCATCATATCGCATTGTCAACAATAAATCACCGCATGTTCCTTCCGTCGACGATTGTCGTTTGTTGTTGTTGTATATTTTTGTTTCGGCATTCTTGTTGTTGATTTTGAATCGCTGTCAATTTAGTCCCTGATATACATAAAAATGTTCTGTATGCGAATATTGAGAGCAGTATGACGTACGCACACAAATATATGTAGTCCTACATCCGAAATCTCCTCTTTTTACAGTAAATAATTGTTTATTTTATATTTATGCACATTTTTCATTCAACATCATTTATATATTATTTTTATTCGGGTCCTGTATGTACATCCATAAAAAATGTCAGTCGAGAAAAATGAAAATAGTTCCAATTTTCTGACTATTGCAGATGTACAGCTTCTCTTCGTCCAAAAAATAATAATATTTTATTATGCAAAATTACCGATGAAAACAAAAGCATGAGCGTCACATGAAATATGGCAAATGGCATATGACATGGCTCGCTAACAAAATTATGCTTTATTTCCTTTCTGTGCATTTCCCCTTACTATGTCTATTAATATTACTGATTCGTATTTTTTGGCATTTTTTCCGATTGAATTGTCGTCTCTTAATTGAAATCAAATACAAATAAATATCGTGGATATCGCTTTATTTTTATTTGGCTGGAAGTATAGGATTTAATTTATGACTTTTTGAATTGCGACATTGCTTGGACGCAATTTTTATGAAGTTTGGATTAACCTTGAATGTCTAATTGGAATCTTATTGGCTATTGGAATGAAATATCATGTAGAATCGAAAATATTTTGCATTAGAATGTTCTGGCAATAGAAGGAGGCTGTGTATGTAGAAACTAATCATTGTGTCCAAAACAGAAGAAATACAAGGTCACTAATGCAATTAGTTTTAATTAATAAAGTTGTCATATAGCTAGTTGGTACTAGATCGAGTAATGCTGAAATAATAGTTGTCATCTAGATGAAATTATCTGATTGACTTTATAGATTGAGAATTAAGATAATCTAGAAAAAAATCCCTTTGTTGTAAGTCCCTCAAAATCTTAAAAAAAAAATTTAAGGGGGAGGGGGGCCTTTGTTTGCTTCTTAGGTCTGAAAATGCTAAAACGTAAAGTAGTAGTTTGATAATATATGGGTAATTCCATGCTATAATTTTGCTATAAAATTTTCTTTAAATTGATTTTTTTCATCGTTAGGCTTTACAAAAGTTAATAAGATTTCCACAGGACATGTAAAAAGTCATATGGTATATGATTTGACATTAATTTTCTATCTAAAGTGGTTAATTCGTCCAAAAAATTGATTCCATGAGCGTTACTTGGTAACGCTATAAATGTTACCAAGTAACGCTATAAAATATAATTTTTTGGACGAATTAACCACTTTAGATAGAAAATTAATGTCAAATCATATACCATATGACTTTTTACATGTCCTGTGGAAATCTTATTAACTTTTGTAAAGCCTAAGGATGAAAAAAATCAATTTAAAGAAAATTTTATAGCAAAATTATAGCATGGAATTACCCATATTTAGGGTGACCATCTGCGTAGTTTTACAACGGACAGTCCTGTATTTCAAAACCCTGTCCTGTATAAATTTGAAAATTTTGTTCCAGGTCCTGTATTTTTTTCACGAAAATTTCCGTTAATTTTCAAATTTTACTCTATGTCCTGTATTTTTTAGGAAATTTATCAAATGTCCTGTATTTTCATAAAAATTAGATGGTCACCCTACCCATATTCATCGATCCATTAAAGACAATGACATAATTACTTAAGCACTCTCAAAATTAATAACCAAATAACGACATACTTATTCCATAACATCACAATACCTACAAGAAAAAGTCCCAAATACTTAGAAACAGTCAATATACACGATATCAAATAACATGCAGACTTACGAATATTATTGTCCCATATTTAACTCCCACGGGAATATCTGTTAACAATACGTGAAAATCGAACATCGATTCCCAATGAAACGTAATATTTATGGATGTATGTTAATTAATTCCTTTTTTTCTGTGTTAATTCTATAAATTTTCAATTCCGCAATAAAATCCAAAGCATAAATATTTTAATGTTGATCTCAAGGACAAATTTGGTGAATTTGAGCCTGGATAATAAAACGATAATCTTCTTAATTCGAATTATTGAAGTTTTATTCTTAAAGATGTAATTATGAGGAACAAAGGGAAAATCAATGCCGACATAACAATAAATTATCCCTCCCTCAAAGATTGATGGGCGTATCAAATTACCAACAAAAGAAGTTTTAATTAAATACAGAAAGCGGATGAGAGAAATGGAGTGGATATGGTCATGAAAATTATTTTATTATTTGCTAACATTGACATTGTACATTGATAAGCTGATTATATGATTAGGCGAGGTTTAGATTTCTAATAATTTATCTTAATTTGTTTCATTATGTATATAAAGTATGTACATATGAATATCTTATCGCACTTCCTGCACTATATGACCCTCAACTAAACAAAAAAATGTTCTCGGAAGTATTTACATTTTTTCATCATTCCTGCCTGTTGCAATTTCAAGAAGAAGAGAAGAAAAGAAAACAAGAAAAAATTTTCCTCATATTTTTTATTCATAAATATTTTGCGCATAGTGCATGAGTCTGGTAACAGTACTGTATTTTCTATGAACCCAGTCAAGAATGAATTTTTAAGGCGTACTTTATTTATGATGCATGTCATTATATTATGGCTGTAAAAATATTTTTCTAAAGAATATTTTTGGTGTACCTAACTATGCTAATTTACAATGCATATAACATGCTTGATGTTTTGGTTATTTTTTTAAAATAATTTTTGCAGACACAATGCTTAAATGTATATTTAGGTTGAGGTCTATTAGAAATTACCTAAATACAGTCTGCATGCATGTCTCAATTTAAGTGTCTATATACTTGCTAATATTTTAAACATTAAAAAATTAAGGAATAATAGTAATTTGGTCACGATAAAATCACATGCATCGATAATTAAGTACTATTAGTCAGTGTATGTTGATTTGAGGCTGTTGTATTAATGATAAGGTTTGGGTGTACACAAAATTGCATTTAGGTGGTCCTTTAAAGCATTTTCCTAGTCACTGGAATGATTTTTACTATGTTAACTCTAATATCGTCTGTTCGATTCCTATCATTTTCAGATATGAAGTTTTTCAAACATCAAACCGCTTAATGAACTTGATTAAGATTAAATTTGAACCCTAGAAAATGTTGAATTAAAGAGAAGAGCCTGATTGGTCAAATGTAAAGCATCTGTGAACGAGTGGCTCAAATACAGACTAGAAATTCGGTTCAATGAGGTTCAACTTTTGCAAACCTTTTGTGAAGTCTCGAGTTCGATTTCCACCTCACAATATTTTCCAAACATTGATCAAACCCTAAAGTATGGTTACATCAGTCTAGTTTGCAACCAACTAGCTTCATGCATGATTAAATTCCAGACTTGTATCTCCTCTTTGATGGTAAGTAGCAGTACAATTTAAATGTCTTGAATTGACAAAGAAGCACTACAAAACCACATAAAATAAATTATCACTATAACATTTAACATTGTCATGTAAGTGCACCCGTGCGCAAGCAAGACATTCCTCCTCAGTCTTACACAATCTCGCATGCATTTTCAAGGTTAAAAAGAAAGCGAATGAACGAGTAAGCAGCCTCAAGAAATGCAAAACAAAACTATTTAATTTTTTTCTTCATCATATTGTAGTCATGAATTCAAGTCAGCATGGAACACTTGAACTGTATATCCACAGAAAAAAAATAGTAATAAAATTAAATGATAAAACATTTTACGCATTTGTATTCAGTAAGGCTATCAAAATTGCTGGTCATTTAGATGAAATATGACATTATTATTTTGAAATCCAACAACTTGTTTGTTCTTCAGCATCATGGCATGTAAGGAACATTTGTCAAGTATAAATTCTATTTTTATGCAAAATAAACTTTATCTTAAATATGCATATAATCTCCATTAAATGTCTCAATTTGTATTGCATTGTAAATCACATCAAAATCTCGAGGAACTAAATCTTAGAACTCAATTTTCACTTCATGACAATTTCTCCTAATGATTATCATAAAAGTTAACGAACATAATAAATTTGCAATAATTTATCCTAATTAATTTGTCCTTAATATAATCTTTCAATGAAATCCATTTTTTTTTGTTTACCAAACAGAATTAGATTAGCTTCCGTTTTTAAAACATAATCTTACTGGTAGAAATTATCTTACTTACTGTGGAAGAAGTGAAAATATGACGAGATGTTATCTCTTATCACATTTCTATGTTGAAAATAATTTCGTTGGCGCCACAAAACATTTTCATTACATGTTGCTACCATGTGACGCGACACATGTCTATGTGACATTGCTGCTTTGTGCTATACATACTGCAGTGAAGATCAAGTGCAACGTCGAGAGAAATTATTGCAAAAATTGTGAAATGAATTTTACATTCATTTATTTAATTTTTATTGAATTTTTTAAAAAATTAAAAGAATATTAAAAAAATCAGCCAAACATTCACAAGCAACAGAACATTTTATACAGACCGAATACATTTTCTGAACGCATGCCTTAGAATATTTTTCTCTCTCGAGTCGTGTTGCGCTACATTTTTTCATGCCAACATTCTGTCAGTTGTTTTCCATCGTTCGTACAGTGAGGATGTACATTCTCGTTCTCAAATCGTGTGCCGGTAGCAAAAAATAATTAAGGAAAGGGTTAATTATCGTAACGGTAATAAAAAAAACCATTGCAATTTATGTGTAAATTGTGAAAATAATTTAATATTGAAAAAGGCAATTATTTTATATTTTTTTGCGGATAAAATCTAGTGGAAGTGATTTTTTTGGCAATTTTTTTGTGCTTAACGTAGAAAAAGAAAAGAAAATAAGGCAAGAAGCATTCACCCATTCTAGTGAAGATTAATTGCAATAAAGCAATCATATTTTTGAGTGTACGGAGTGAATAAACGATTGAAATCCATCAAAAAAAAAGTAGAAGTTAACGCGTTGAAATTCTTTCTCGATCACAGGGCGCTCCATAAATGAGGCAAAGAATGGAATAAGGAAAAGAAATAATGATACGTGAATATATAAGATGTGAAATTTTTTTGTTGTTGCTGCCTTTTTTTGCTCACAAGTACATGCAATTGTTCAAATAAGTGAAATGTGAAATGAATTTATGTATATAAAAATAAAGTGAGTGTACATAAAGATCCAAAAAAGAAAAAAAAAAGAAAAAAAAAACCAGAATTTCAAGAAATAAGGAGAAGAGGAATACCATAAATAAATACATGAACTTCAAGATCATTGTTTAAAAAAATAATAAGAAAGAATTTTTTTCTCTCTTATTTAACCATTCTTCATTCAATCTCTCTCTCACACCCAACATAGACAGCATAAGAAGTACATAACAAAAAAGAATATTATTTTTTTTGTGTTGGACGACGCAGCATAAAAGCATAATTTTATTTAAAGGAACTACACTCTCTCGCATTTGAACAGGTAAGATGGAATTTTTTATTTTTTTTTCTTCTCTTGTGTACTTTTTGTCCACACTATTGCCTTCGTCGTTGCTTATCTGCTTTAATGTTTATGTTAAAAAAAATAAGAATTTTAAATAACCACAAAAAATGTTCTGAAATTGACTTAAGAAAATGCGGGTCTTTTGGAGAAGTCGAGTTGGATTGACAGTTTTTTGATGGAATTTATTCATGTGTTTACGTGATAAGTTTGACGTAAAGTCAAGGTGTTTGAGAGAAAAATATTACTTTTGTTGAGGATGAATGAACAGTGAGTTGGGGAGTGTAGGAATTGGAAATAAAACAAAAATTGAATTTTAATAGCCTTGTTTCAAATTTAAATAGCATTTTCGGATTAGTTTCACACAAAAATTTAACTAGCTTCTGAAAAATTGCCCTGAGTCATTTAATTTTCTTGGAATCATTTCTGTTATGAGGGTCGTTTGTCAATGATGTTCAGTTCAAATTTAATTTTTTAATCTTAGTGTCACACTTCTGTTGCCTTATTTGGCTCTTTGAAAACTTTTAAATTCTGAGCTTCCACAACAATATTTGATTGTCTTTGGGATGGAAGTGCCATAAAGTAACAGCTCCTTTCCTGCAAAACTTTTAAATCATATTATCGGCCACTCTCCCCTGTTCTCAAAATGAAGTCATCAAAATCAATAACAACTTACGATCCACTTATTTGACACTTCACAGACCACCCTCACCCCCCCCCCCCCCCCCCTTACATATAGGACATCATATGCAAACAATTCTTCCATCAGCTTTAACCCGATCGACATTATATTTATTGCAATATTTTGACGGAAAAAATTTCATCTCTTTTTTATCGTCTCCTCGTGCGTGTAATTAATGCAAAATATTTAATTTCTGCTTACTTAATATTATTAACAACGTTACAACGTTGATAGGTGTTATCAATAATTGGATCTTTGGTATTCATGCAGAATTTAACAAATTCAACAGAATTACAAATTGTACATTTTTATTCAATTTCAACTCACGTTCTGCTGAAATCGATACTGTTTTTAAAAAACTTCAATGGAATTTTAATGACTTACTCTGTGCAGACCTGTCTCTGTCTCTCTTACTCCCTTGTGATTTAATTCTGATGTTTCTGATTGTTATCATATTAATTAAATTAAAATGAACTCTTCAATGATGATCTTCTTTTATTGTGACAGTAGCAAACAATAGCTGACTTATTTTGCAATTCAAATTTTTTATTTATCATATCAGACAGCATGAGAGAATAATTTGTTTGAAATTACAACAAAAACAGAAATTGAATATTTTTTTCAATGCTTAATTCCATTCCAACTTTACAATTGAAACTTCATTTTTCTTTATCATAAAAGGAAAAAATAAACTCTCTAAAGTACTTGAGAAATAAAATGCTGGATGTGAAATTGAAACGACATTTTTCCGCTTTTTTTCCTTCTCCTTTAGCTTGCATTTAATTTCCATAATCAATGCAGTTCCAATTTTTTTTTCCTTTTGCTTTCTCTCTTTTTATAAACATACAATTGTTTGATGGAGCACACAAAAAAAAATTATATTTTGCTTCATTGACTCAAAAATGGATATGGTATTGATGGGGTTGTTGGATGAGCTATAGAGAGGCGCATTTCATGCTTGATTTTGTTGTGAATTCTCAATTGGCTCATTGGTTGGGAACTGTGGATTTGTGTGAAATTTGATGTTTGGTTGGGGTTGGGTGTCGCACCATCGACTAGAAAGCAAAATTTTTTTGGAACTAGAGTTCGAAGTCAATACGGGATCGGTTTCTTTTTATACTCGAGGCACCCTAAGTAATAGTCAATAATTTAAGAACTATATTTTGGGAGCAAAATTAGAATTTAACTGTTATTAAGGCAGCCCACCCTCGAGTAATCCTAGAACCCAGCCTTCAATCTCGATATCGAACATGACACCAGAACAGAAGGAAAAAAATTAATGTACATGTTAGTGAATTAAGAGACGACTTTCTTAAATTACATTTTCAAATTTCCACAAATATAAATCAGTTATCTTAGGTCATAAAGGAAGAGATTTATTGTTGGCGCAGGAAATTATCAAGAACTGTAATATTGAACTTTTCAACTAATGTAAATAAATTACACATGGTGCTTCTTTATGGATCTATTGATTATTTTTTGGATCTTTTTTTATAAATTTATTAGAATCTTTCTTGGAAGAATCTTCCCCACTATTTTTAAGGGATTTTTTATGTCTTTTGCTTTCATTACAAGAAGCATGGCCATTGAATCTTACACACTGTATCACATAAAACTCTTTACACTCTCAGAATCTGTCGATTATTATCATCATCACTCCAATAAAAATTCATCATTGAGACAGTCTAAAGCAAATCCACACATCAACTCAAAAACTTGCATCAATAAAACAATTTGGAAGGAAAAAAAAGATTCCTCAATGCAAGACCATTTGAGTCTTATTTTAGAAAAAGGACATAAAAAACTGAGTTATTTGGTGGCAATCGATTTTTTTATTGTTTCAATTTTCAACATTTATTTTCAATTTTTTTTCCCAGAAATACAACAAAAAAATAATTTTTTCAAAGGATATAAGGAAAGAAATAATATAAAAAGTGCAGTGCAATTTATTGCTTAACATTGATGAAGTGAAATTTAGACAAAAAAACTGAAATAAAATAATAAATTGCAAAATCGAATTTATTGAATTTTCGCTGATGATTTGTATCAAAGCCATTCATCTATTGTCGACAAATAATTCAATGAGAAAGATGTGAAGTTGTTTGTATATGATGTCTAATTTTTAGGGGATGGATCGGTGAGTTGGTCTTGAGCTCATTGACAATACAAGCATGCCTTTGATGTCTTTAGGATTTGATTAGGAAATCGTCCACACTAAGATAATAAGCAGCCGTCACCGTCCTTAATAAATAGCACAAACCCAAAGACCATCGGATTTTTACAAGTTACTAAAGCTGGACTAAGTCAACTTGATTGCTGCTATTTTCATAGCATTTGTGTAACCAGGGCTCGTGAGGAGTAAAAAAAATTTTGATTTTCTAAAATCAGTTATTTATGTGATTGAAAAAAATCATGATTTTTCAAATCTGCGTAAATCTTTAAGGAGGATTTTATTACGTAGACAAAATCCCTGCGTAGTGATTTTGATTACGTAAAAACCGTTAGGATTTTAGTGACGTGAAGTTGAAATTGTTTGCATTTTTTTAAAGTCAAGAGCTGAGGTACTTATAATTTTCCTTCGAAAGAGCATCATTCTTACTATAATATTTACAATTTCATAGGCATACTTATTAAAAATCCATAAGCAAATTGAAAGATTATACGGAAATGATCCAGAAACGGCTCAGCAATCTCATTTTAATTCCAATCTTACAGAATTTGATTTCTATTTGGATGAAGATGAAGTTTCAACTGAATCTAAAAGAAGTAATGAAGCTGTATTGGAAAAAATAATGAAATGCTGCATTCAGCCAAGAGTTTCTGCATCCGTAAATGAATTTGATATTTTTAAGTTCTTGAAATTTAAATATTCCATTACGAGTTCTTTTGAGTCACTTACGGTCTAATCTTTTGTCTAATTCCGTAGAAGACATAATGTTGTGCCACTTAAATTCTTCGTTATTTTCTAAAATTAATTTTGACTTGATATAAACCGTAATATTCTTATTAACACATACTTATCTTTGCTTTACGACTTTAAAGGTCAATCTCCGCTGCATATTAGCATATTCGCTGTCCTTAAATGCTTAAATTTGTTAAATTTCAATAAAAAACAATCACCAAAAAAAATGTAAACAATTTCAACTTCACGTCACTAAAATGCTAACGGTTTTTACGTAATCAAAATCACTACGCAGGGATTTTGTCTACGTAATAAAATCCTCCTTAAAGATTTACGTAGATTTGAAAAATCATGATTATTTTCAATCACATAAATAACTGAGTTTAGAAAATCAAAATTTTTTTTACTCCTCACGAGCCCTGTGTGTAACAACTGAATGAAGAAAGAAGCAAAAAAAGTATTCAAACTTTCAAAAGACATCATTTTGAATAGCTCCCATATACCCCCAATAGATAGACAGATAGAACCAAAGTTTCAACAACAATACTTTTCAAAATTATTATTAGAGATAGAAAAAAAAGCCAATTTTTATAACAGAACAGGCAAAAAATAACTTCCCTCAACACAAAAAACGATCAAAATCTTTTCATGCTTCCTACAACATATTATAAAAGGATACAAAGTTGGTGCATGGCAATGGTGAGGAGAGAAAAAAAAAATAGCAACATATTTGATACGTGATAAGAAAGCATAATTAAGACAAAAAGAATAAAAATGGCTCTTCAATAATCGAACACTCATTCATTTCTGTCTTTGTCTGTATAGATTATATGTGTGTATCATCATCAGCAACTCTATGTATCCGTGATATTTTTTCGCTACGGCTACAATACCGCTCACTCTATTCACTTGACACATCGTATGTCTTTTTAGCGCTTATTTTTTTGAAAAATGAATTTTTTTATATTTTTTGGAACAAAAGAACATACAAGAGTATTTACCGGCATTTTGTGCCTTGTTTATTTACTTGCTAGTATGTATGTTGTGAACGAGAGTATTCTTGATTATGTTTATGGAAAAAATTTCAGAATTTGAGCAGTTACTGTCCTAAATAACAGATGTTTTTGCACATTGCTACTGATACTCTCAAGTTTCAAGAATTTCGTCACCAAGAAAAAGTTGAAAAATTAAAACATGTGGCAATTCTGTGAGTCTATGACTTAAGCAATGTCCAGAGATATTCAATGTGACTCAACAAAATTACCCAAAACATTTTCATTGAGGAATGAAATTTTATGATTGAAATCGTGCAAAAATGAGGAACTGATAATGACTTGAATTTTTTTTAAATGGATTGAGACTTATAAGGTATGCAATGAAAGTTGTAATAATTATTGG